GCCTAAACGTAGGTGGCTGTGGAGCTGGAAGCCCAGGATGCATCCTGGTCTGAGTGCTTTGCTAATTGTGTGACCTCAGCAATTCCCTCCCTTAACCTCTGTGCATCAATAGTTCCTGCCTTAAGGGCTATTGTGAGGAGTAAATGAGTTAATACTGCTAATATTAGAATAATGTGTGGCACATGGTAAACTCTATTTAAGGGTCTGCTGTAGTTAATGTCATCTATATACCAGCGTGTGCTGTGAGCATAATGCCCCCGGCTCTCTATTCTGATCATCCCTAACTCTAGGGCTTCCTGAAACCAGAGCTGCTAGGCAGTGAATTCACCCACCTTGAGTTCCCCCGCAGAGTTCTGCCCAAGGAGCTGGGGCAGAGGATGTTGTACCGGGACCAGAACATGACCGGCTGGTAACACTTCCCTCAGAGCTGGGGCCCGTTCCCATGGCAACACAACCAGCCCCTCGCCCGCAGCAAGGTGGAAGCTGGAGGCTGGGAGTTGGGAGGATGTGGCCTTTCTAAGGGGTTTGTGTGAGGGTGCGCAGCTCCTAGGGGAGAGGGACTTTGATGCCTGGGTGATGCCTCCTCTACTCCCCCCTCCCCAGGGCCTACAAAAAGATCGAGCTGGAGGATCTCAGGTTTCCTCTGGTCTGTGGGGAGGGCAAAAAGGTAAACTCCATGGTAGAGGTGGGAGAGGGCAGGAGGACCTGTCACAACTTGTCTAGGGAGGTGGAGGTTCTACCTGAGGGTAGGGGTGGAAGGGATCTTTGGTTTCAGAGAATCTGGCAGAGGACTAGAGTGGCACTCCCTCCTCATTTCTTTCAGGCTCGGGTGATGGCCACCATTGGGGTGACCCGAGGCTTGGGAGACCACAATCTTAAGGTCTGCAGTTCCACCCTGCCCATCAAGCCTTTTCTCTCCTGCTTCCCTGAGGTGAGCCATACGGTGGCCCCCCTTAAACCACCTCTTGCCTTCTCTGGGGGCCCCAGGCCAGCTTTCTTCTGCAGTCCCTTTATCCCCAGGCTCCCTGTCCAGCAAACCCCACACCTCAATCCTCTCCGCCCTTTTCTCCCACTAGGTACGAGTATATGACCTGACGCAATATGAGCACTGCCCAGATGATGTACTAGTCCTGGGAACAGATGGCCTGTGGGATGTCACTACTGACTATGAGGTGGCTGCCACTGTGGACAGGGTGCTGTCGGCCTATGAGCCCAATGACCATAGCAGGTAGGGGCTGCATGGCATGGTGGTAAGGGGATGGCACTGGTGAAGGAAGGGTCAAAGGGAAGCAATGCTTGGGACCCCACATGTGGGCCTGTGTATCTGTCTTCCCACATACATGTTGGTACATGAATGTGCATGTGTGCTTCTGGCAGGTATACAGCTCTGGCCCAAGCTCTGGTCCTGGGGGCCCGGGGTACCCCCCGGGACCGTGGCTGGCGTCTCCCCAACAACAAGCTGGGTTCCGGGGATGACATCTCTGTCTTCGTCATCCCCCTGGGAGGGCCAGGCAGTTACTCCTGAGGGGCTGAACATCATCCCTCCCACCACCATCCCAGCCTCTCCATACTTACTCTTCTCACAGCCCAAATTCTGAAGTTGTCTCCCTGACCCTTCTTTAGTGGCAGCTTAACTGAAGAAGGGATGCCCGCTATATCCAAAATTATAGCTATTGGCAAATAAACCAGATGGATAAAGGTGTGTGTCTTTATTTGCTTTGACTAGAAACTGAAAGATAAGAAGAAAGCTCTGTGGGGTGGTGGAAAGAGCACCAGAACAGTTCTAGAAATGTGGTATTCCCCAGGTTCTTCATTCCGCTCGCCACTCTTTCCACTCCACGCATTCGCTGTGAGTGTCACTGGCCACTTCTGTGGCTTCACCCATCTGCCCAGACCCTTCCTGAGCTTTAGATCCACACATTCCAGTCATCTCCTGGACAGCCCGCTGGCACTTCAATTCAAATACCTCAAACTAAATTCACCACTGCCCTCCATAACATGTTCCTTCTCCTGGTATATCCCCTCAATGTGCACCAGCTCTGCTGCTCCAGTTAGAAATCCTGGAGTTGGTCACCCTTTGCTTTCATTTCTTTCCCATCAAGGTAATTGATCACTAAGTATTGTTGACTATAGACCTTTAAAAATATTTCTCTACTTGTCTCCACCTCTCTCTGCCTTCAGTCACCACCACCTTTTACTATATTGGCCTCCTACATTTAGTGGCTCCTTACTGCGCCTAGAACAAAATCAACACTCAACTCCTGTGCATGGCATATAAGGACCTTCATGATCCAGCCACTGCTTCCTTCTCCAGCCTCATTTTTCACCACCACCACCAACTTCCTGGGGTTTGCATAACTGTGGGCTTTTAGTAGCTCCAACTTATCCAACATCTACTGCCGGGCATGGTGGTTCATACCTGTAATCCCAACACTTTGGGAGGCAGAGGTGAGAGGACTGCTTAAGCCCAGGAGTTTAAGACCACCCTGGGCAATAGTGAGACCCCATCTCTACAGAAAAATAAAAAAATAGCTGAATGTAGTGGTGAGTGCCTGTGGGAAGCAGTTAAGCATCCAAGGAAATTAAGAGTATTGCTTATAGTAGAAAAGAATAAAGATCTCAAATCAGTGATCTGTTTCCACCTTAAGAGGCTAGAAAAAGAACAGCAAATTAAACCCAAAGTAAGCTAAGGGAAGCAAAAATAAAGATGAGCAAAATAATTAGAAAAGGCCTGTCACCAGCCTGGGCAATATAGCAAGACCCCATCTGTACAAAAAATACAAAAATTAGGTGTGGTGGTACACGCCTCTAGTCCCAGCTACTGGGGAAGCTGAAGTGGGAGAATCACTTGAGCCCAGAAAGTTGAGGCTGCAGTGAGCTGAGATTTTGCCCTGCACACTTGGACAACAGAGATCTTGTCTCAAAAAAAAAAAAAAAGGCCGGGCGCGGTGGCTCAAGCCTTTAATCCCAGCACTTTGGGAGGCCGAGACGGGC